CTCGCTACCTCTTTTAATACCTACGAAAAATCGGACAGCTCAGGCGGAAAGCAAAAGCATTTATATGGCAATCAGACGAGGGTCTCCAGGGGTAGACGGGGATAGAACCGAAGGTAGGGGTTGCTAGCACTCAGGGGTACGAAGGAAATCAGGATAATTATTAACAATTAGCTTAATCAACCTCGAGAGCAAGCTTTTGTTGTTGGCCGCTCTGATACACGTGCCTGGGATTCTCATAAGCTTCCCTTTCCTGCTAATTTTGAATTTCTGTGACGAATACCCCGGTATTCCAATAATTCGCGATTAACAGAAATTATAAATTCTTTATTTTAAAATTATAAATTGTTAAGAAATTATAATTTCTTAACAATTAAATGAATATACTGTTTTTATAATAATGTTTTTATAATAATATTTTTTCTGAAGTATTGTTTTACAATAATTATATAGTAATTTTTGTACCAATTTATATAATAAAATTGTATTGAATATTTATTCTATAAAGTATTATTTTTGTTTCAGGTATGGTTTCAAAATCGACGTGCAAAATGGCGTAAGAAGGAAAAGGCGTTAGGCAGAGATACTAGTTTTATGCACGTCGAACAAGGCGGTAAGTTAAAAAATATAACTTAAATATAACTTTAATTGGTCACAAAGATGATATTATTTTTGACAGAAATATAAAGAGAAACTTTTAATAATAAAATTTCTTGCATTTGTTAATTTGTCAAATATATCGCAGCAGTACAATTAATAATAAAGTAATATTTTTATCATAATGCGTATCGATATTATTCTTTAGAAAAAAATAGAAATATTTTTATATTGTAAATAGGCTCGTATTTCTTCTTTCCACTTGCTGCAATATTAAATTAATTATTTGCCTTCTTCTTTTTTTTTTTGATGGTGATAAAACAATCAAAGAAAGCACATTTTCATCTACCATTGCTTTATAGTAATGTAGTGACGCATGTGTTACACTCGCTAATACGTGCAAGGGAGGAGGACACAAGGCATAAGTTACGAAGGGTAGATGCAATCGACAACAATTATGTCTAATTTCAGTGTCTGCCATCGCAGCCATCACGTGCGAATGATATAGAATAAAAACCTAACTGATTATTTTTTCATGAGACGCTCTGTGGATAAAACTCGTACATTGAATGAGCAATGTTAGCTGCGGAAAAAAATTTAATGACTTCAACTCTGTACTATCCTTACAGCGCTACAATATGATTTTATCAATTATGTTCAATGGTGTAACAAGGGAATCTTTTAAATTTTTCCGTGTATTAATTCGCAACACATTCATTCGCATTGTTTTTTTTTTTAAACATAATTATGATAAATTTATTTCTTTCTTTCATAAAAAACAAGATGAAAAAACACGGTAATTTCTAAAATAACTTAAAAATATTGTTAAAATTAGGTTGATACAATTTTGTTCTGCGGAAGAATTTGGAGTGATGTAAAGGAAGTGAAGCAAGCCCGTTGAATTCTGTTCACAGGTGTGAACGAGTTGTCTCTTCACGCGCGACTATTGCAAACGGCCAGTGGCGTTCCCGGCGCGGATTCTTCGGGTCCACCGACGGGCGCGTTTCCCTGGTTCATACCTCCGGTTTTTCCATCACCCTGGCCACCGAGCGCGCCGAAATTACCGCCCTTGCATGCGCTCTTGTCGCAATACATCGGTCTACCCTTGCCGCAGAACCTGGCGTCGCTCGGCACGATGCTTCCGGTCGGTCTGAATCCGAGCTCGTCGCTGAACCACAGCAACGTGAACGGTCATTCTCTGAGCAGCCACTTGCACGGGCATCCCCTGAATTTGGGGGTACAGAGTATACCGCAGAACTTAAGTTCGAAGAACGACAAGGAGGAGGACTCGGCATCGTCCGACGACGAGATCAGGAAGCAGAGCGCGGAAGTGCTCAGAGTGAAGGCGGAAGAGGCGCTACGCAAGGCGGACAATTAACTGTGAGAGCTTACGGATTTTTGTAAATAATGAACCTCCTCCGATTTATCCAAACTGTTTGATACCAATATAAGTATTTCGGAACGTGAACATCCGCGAATCTATAATGTCCTGTATGCATCAGAGGATTCTTCCGTTTGCCAAGCTGCAAAAACATGGATTTTGTATCATTCATAATTCGATAGACATTTTAATACATAAAGCTTTAATACAATAAAACTAAGACAAAAAGGAGAAAGTCCTCAAATCCCCCTGCCGTAATAAAGAATTTATTGACAAATTATTTTTACATTTTCTTTCAGAACATATTTTATTTAGACAACGATCGATTACTCTACGTAACAATCTATTTCGTTGATATCAAAAACTGATTGCGTTTAGATAATGAAATCATCATTTAGGACTGATCAGATTTAACTAACAATTAATTGTTGTACTATTCTACATACGACATCAAAAGATTGTTTAATAATAGATCTATATAGATTTATATAATCTATAAGTTTAATTTAATTACATTTTTATAAAAAAGAAAAAACATAAAATCGCAATGTCATTTTCATTCCATGTCACAACTGCCTTATCATGTAAAAAGGTATGTGAATGCAGCCGCGTAGAATTTCTTCCGAAAGATCAAGTGCCGTACAGGATCGCCGATGTACGTGTTAGATGAAGTGAAGGAAGTTTTGTAAAATATATGTATCATATGCGAATGTTAGATATATCATGTATACATATGTAACATATATATATATATATCATAGACTTTGTGTAAATATGTAGGCTACCCATAAGTTAAAGAAATATATTAAACCTACGAAAAATTATGCAGAATTATATTTCTTTCGAAATTACTGCCTGTCAGCATAAGTTGGCAGTTGGACTCAAGATTGATTTTTATTTATAATGAATAAAAGCTTAAAATTTAACATAATTTTTAAGTAATTATCAAAAATTGATGTCATTCTTCTAATAAATTAAATAAAAATCAGAAAACATAAATTTAAATATAAATCGATAAAAGGAATGAAAGGAATTTTAAAAAGAAAGAAAAAAATTTGTGAAAAAGAATTTATAAGTAAAGCATCTCGGAAGTTACAGATTGCGATTATTTTTCTGATTATCGGTACATTTTTAAGTGTCGCGATATATAACAGTCTTTACTAGCGTATCACGATTAATAAGTCGCAGGTGCCTCAACTTTTCGCACCCGTTGGTTCGGACTTCAACTACCCTAATTCGCCCTGTCCGAGGGCAATTCACACGGGGGCGAGCTACAAAATCGCTTCCGCGTCATTAATCATGAAAAGATTTGACGTATCGGCCGCGTCATTACGACGATTTCCTGAATTCCGCGCAGCTGGCGGTGCCCCCGCGCGTATCCCCGGATTCCCACGGGTCCGTTTGTGTCGCGCGCGTTTAATCGCGCACCCCCGCCCCGCGCCTCCCACCCCCCCGATTTTACCCCGGGCTCCGCATTTTCCGCCGTCGAAAGTGAATTTCGTTCGTGGGCGGGATCAGGCGCATCCCGGCGTGAACGCCGGTAACACGCACAACGGCAATTACAATCCGGCCAATTTATCCGCGTTATCAGAAATTTATCTGTCGCAGAGGGCGAAGGCCGCACAACGAACGCGAGAATTAACGTTATCGCCGACGTTATCGCGCGGGAAGGTAATTATTGCACCACCTGCTTGGGACGCGTGATCCGCGCAGGTTCGATAAAGCACACAGATAACACGATTGGGTGAATGATATTTTATTTTTATGGTATTCTATAGACAAAATTTTCCGATAGTGACGATAGAAAGCTCTTTCTCCAATAATCTTTGAAATTCGAAAAGAAAGATACATATGTAGAAAATAAGACAGAAAAACCGGCAAATGGCTACCTATCGATAGATTGTCGTGACAAGTTGGTGCACCTTCGTGGGTTTTTAGGCGAAGAAATCCCGAGGTGGTGTACTCGAGATGCGGCGCAGACATTTTGTATTGCCACATTAGGTGAAGTATGCGCACGCTTTCGAAATGCTCCGCTTGCGTTTTAGCTCAACGACCGCGCCGCATAATGCTGCAAAAGTTCCGCTAAATGGAACCACTAGAAAGAGAAAGAAACGCTCGAGGTCCACTTCACCCCCCGGATTTCGTCCGTCAAACGATATTGCTGAATTTCGGTTTTGGTCCTACAATCTCGCGGCGTCTTTGGGACATTCGGCGCGAATACGTCACTCTTCGCTCTTTAATAAGCAAAAGTGAAAAATAATCATATCATTAGAAAAACATTAATAATTTTACGAATGCGAAACATTTTTTAGGTAAAAAATAAAAATTTTTGTATATATTTTATTTTACAATTTGTAAAATTAATAAATTTTAAATGTCGGATATATTCATAGATTTTGAATATTTTGACAAGCATTTCATGTCTATCTTAAATTAAAGTACAAGTCAAATTTTTTTAGAGAACATTTTTTTGTTGTCTGCATAATTGTACTCATATTTTTCGTAATTTTGAGAAAAAAATGATAAGCTTTTTTTAAGCGATATTTCTCTCTCTGTTTCAACGGATATTATAAATCGTTTTTCGCTTTTTACAAAATCCTTCAATATAGATGAAGGATCATAGTTGAATACCACTGATCGCGATCGCGGTTGTTACGAAGGACAATTAGATTAAAAGCAGCGCCTCTCGCGGCGGCTTGAGATCCATTAGTGCCCATTGTGCCACCCCATTTACACCCCCACCATCCCCTATTGCTCCATGCCCTCCTCTCCGGAACAGAGCACCCGTCTCGAAGCCAGGTACTTATTCTCAATAGTAATATGCTCACTTCATACTTCTACCTCTTCGTCCTTCAGTGTTTCTGTCTGCGTCTCCCGACAGAATCCCTCTTCTTCCTCTTTTCTTCTGCATTTCTTGACGACAGCATAAATCGCCGGCACTGATGCCGTTTAAAAAGATTTTTCCGTCTTGCTAAAATCAATCTGCGATATACAAGTGTACAAAAATCCGATGTTAATGACACACAACTCAAACTGACTTCTATTAATCCATTTGTCGCGATGAAAACCAACGTCGATAACATAAAAATCACATAGATCAGGTTCATATGAAAAAGTAAAAAAGAATGATTTCAAAAGTGAAATTTAAAATAAAATGGCTTTCTATAAATAATAGTTATACATTATTTTCATTAAATAATTTCTGTGAATCAATTAATTTTTATAAAACTTATTTTTCCAATGTTAAGCTAAATTACGTACATATAGTTACGTTAATTTTACGCAATTTTACTTATTAATATTATTTATAAAATTTACACGTAATATACGATATTTTCTCATTCGATATTTCCGTGTAAACGTTATTACGGAAATATAAATTTCATATAAATGATTCGTATAAAACCACAGATTAATTTGTAAAGTCGAAATAACATTCCTAAGTACGCGTAATACATTCGTAATAGCTGATGCTTACTACAATGGTTTTGCGTAGGCGGAGATATAATGCTTAGAATCGTGCACGAAACATTGTGATTCTTTTCGGCGTTAATAATTCGTCGAGTGTCATTATCTGGAATTAATGTTGCCTCCGCGAAATAATAATCGCTCTCGTGCGAGCATGCTCGATCTGCCATAGCGGGATTCAATATTAAAGCGTACAAGTGAATTTCTGATTAGTTTTATCGTGCCAGTGTCCATCTGTTTAACGTTCCGTTAATTCACGATAATTAATCGATGAGTGTACTTTATAACAAATAACTCGATTTAAATTATACATATTGTTTAGGGGATTACATTGATGTAATAATGGCTTTTCGTACATATTTGCCTTATATATGATAAAAACGGAATGAGCGTAGGCACGAGATATATATTTTTATTTGAATATTTATATCGGTAAAAGGCAGGGGAGAATTAAACTATTTGATATTAACTGGTTCGGATTCCCAATTTTAAAATCCATCCTAATTTGCAGCGAAGAACATGAAAACGTCTCCCGTTGCAAGTCGGAAGGGATTTCGCATCCTGCAATTCTTGCCAGCGAGAGCCCAGGACCTTTGGAAATCTCTCTTGTTCACACGTTGTGAAACTGGGTGTATGGTTATGCTTAAAAATTAGTGTCGTTATGACGCCGCGCCCGACTCTACGTACACATTAGGTGTACACACTTCATTAAGGCTATTAGGAGGCATCAGAGCATCTAGAGCGCGCCCAGCAAGGCGACGATCGGCGGTCCCGAAAACGATCTCTTTCCAGCCCCCGTCGTCTTTTCAACCCCCCGCATGAGGGGTGACCAACAATAATGGCTTCTACACTGATAGGCTTACGCTCCGAAATTGTGTGTGCTTCCTGAGCCCTAGCCCCTGGAAAAATGATATACCTGCAGCTTGCCGATTTGATCGCGTTCGTACTTTAGCGATCCATGACACAGACGTCGCGGATCACAAAGTGAAATAACTGTTGAATTTGTCCGAATGTTAAATTTTCGACAAAGAGACGGCTTGTACGATGATTGACTATTTTTGCGAACATTAATAACCGTATGTATCTACCTAAAGTATTATGAAAACTATTAATTATTAAATATTACTTAAAATATTAATTACTAAGCACTAACTAAGTACTACTTCAAAAAATAGAAATATTAAATTATAGTATATATCGCAATAATAGATCAAAGTACAAGATTTTCATATTCTTCATGAACAAGATGATGCCTTATAAATTGATACTGTAATACACTCGCGTGAATTAATTTCACAGGGCGTTTGAAAGAATGATATGGTGTAAAACCGTTGTTTGGCTTGAAATTTAATTTCATTGCACTCGCGCTTGATTCCCGCAAAAAGCGCTTTTTATAAAAAAAAAAAAAAGAGAGGAGGGGGCGATTGAGCGATCGGATACACTCTGGGCTCGTTGAAAAGATCAAAGCGCATGGAATTCTAATGGATCGTGGAACGAGGCCTTTCACACTCGATCAATTTTCTCGAATGAAGCGGTTTTCGCGGAATAAAAGGTGCATTAAGGCGTGCTCGCATGTGACGGGGATCGGGAGTCCATCGGGGTACGATCTTACGCGGGGTCAAGAGTACCCCCTTCTCTCGATAGAAGAAAATTCAATAAATATAGAATAAAATGATATCTGATGTCTCTCAACTCTTTCTGGGATAGGTTTCCTTCTAATAAATAGAAATCCAGAATTGTTATGGGAAAATTATTACAAAATTGTTTATGCAGTTTTTAGAAAATATTGAATATACTGCAAGAAGATTATATGTTGCGTCGTTATTTTTGCATTTTAAGAGTATTACAATTTTTTTATGTTTGCATTTCAATCAGGGTATGATATAAAATTTTAAAAAATGATAGATAGTTTTATTATAATATTACGCTGATAATTTTATTGACAATTAATGAGAAAAAAATTGTACATACTGACGTCATGGTATATGGGATCTTTTTGTCTTTAGCATCTGCATTTATTCTGCATTAAAACATTCCGAATTTTAAGCGTCGGTTTCACTACTACATATTTTTCATAAAATTATTTCACAAAAATTATATATATAAAACAATTTCACCCACAATTTCAATTTGTATTTTTAATTTTAATTATATTCAATAAATTAATAACATTAATATTCACGTAAATTCTGAAGATATACATTGAAGATTTACATTGTATAAAATAAAAATAAAAGAATTGTGTATAGATACAATCATGTTTTAATCAATGTATTTGTTACGTTCATGCAATATACATATTAAAATGTCAGTATTATGTTAAAATGTCAAGTAAACTTAACAAAACATGAGAAACAAGGAAAATTATCCTAAATGTCATCGTAGGCCGACACTTTGCTTTTCTCTGTTTAAGCGAAAATTGATCGTTCCGGTCACGATCAACTTTATCTGAACATACCGGTCGTAAATTAATCGTATAGTTAATTCCATTCTGTCGATGTACAATCTAATAAAGCGTGAGACACGAAAGGCTGCTCTTTGATAAAAACGGCCCATTTTCATCCTTTGCCGTGCCGCTAATATTACATTACATTAAGCTGATTATCTATCTCGCGCGCTTGTATACTTTTTCCATTCAGGGGCAGTTCTGGAAACTAGGCACCTGTATATACCTTCATAACAATCTAGAAAGAGAGGAAAAAGAAAGAAAGAAGTGCTATTTAAAAAATTTATATTTTATTCAATAATGTTCAATTGATTATAAAACGCGTTAAAACAAGACAAAAAGTAATTTTCTGATAATCATCCGTAATAACTTTATATTTGAGTATCAGAAGAGAAAAGAAAAATTTTTCCAGGTTTACTGGAGATTTAAAAAAAAATAATTAATAAATGTGTTAATTTTGCTATATTAAGAAACATTATTTCGTTCTACATATATCTTTTTTCTATTAGGAGGGTTGACGCGACAGTTGCAAATTTGGGGTTCAAGATTGCGGCATTTGCATACGCGTAATAAGTTATCCGTCATTTGGTCATTGATTCCACGCTTAAGAATCGTCGCGATGCCACAAAGGAGTCTCTCGACGAGAAAGACCCGGTTATTATTGAAACCGTTCTCGCAATCCGAAAGAAGGCGAAGAGTTGGTGCCAGCCACCGTACCCGTTTTTAGACCTAAAGTGCTTTCACGGTCGGCGTTCGAGGGGTGGATTTAATGGCCGTTTAAGGGGATTTTGGTGGATAATTAGCGGCGGTAACGAAAAAAAGGAGAAGCGTCACCACCATCGTCGTCATCGTTGCCGTCGCCACCACAGCCAGTTGGCGCAGCCAGCGCGTTGCGACGGCGTGTACGCGCCTCTCGGTGCGAAAAGCCGCGACAAAGAGGGTCGGTTACACGATTACACGGTGGGATATGCGCGGTACACCGACAATCCGACCGCCGATTGGCCGTCTACGAGCGAGTCCGGGTAGACCATTGGCCTCGGATCGGGACTCGATACGCTCGTGTCCCGCATACGAGTCTGGCCGCACGGAAGCGGTGGGACCCCGAAGGAGATTCTCTCGAGGGCCTTTCTATCCCTCGAATGGTTTCTGCCGACCTCCCGCGGCGAGCGCAAGCAGATGCGGACGCGGTATACCGTGTATAGAATCGCGCCGCATAATAATCTCGTGGCCGTGTTTGGCCACAGAAGTATCTTTTATTGTGATTTTTTTCCCTTCCAGTCTCTCAAGGAGGGCGGGTTATCCCACGTTGGAGAGAGGTGTAAGCTTACAAGTTTACGAAACTCGCTCCTGATGCAAGCACACGCTCGGTAGCGTGTCCGGTGGCGATCTTTGACACGGTCCTTGTGGACACCCGACGTATTTGATCAGACCTGAAGTGTGAACATGGAAATTACCTCGGATATATTATAGTAAGGCTTTATTTATAGTGCGCAAAGCGAAATTAATTTAAATTTATTATTAATGCTTTTTTTTACTCTTAAAATTGAAATATAATACTCTATATCTTTTTATTCTTTTATTAGAAGAAAATCGTTTAATCAAGGTTTTCAATTTTTATCTTAAAGCAATATTACTAAAATAACTGCGAATTATTTAAATAACAAAAGAAATTTATTAATTATATAAATCAGAAATAACTCTTTGACATCATAATTAATTATTAATTATTAATTTATTATAACGTACAAATATTGTATCTGCAATACATTCAATTTTCAATATGGAAATTCTTCCAACCTTCATCCATTTTAGTATTTTGAACTCGTGAACAATTCTTAGGATTGATCGTGACTACTCACAAAAATAATTCGGCTTTCAGTTTTAAACGCGAATCTTTTTTATGCCCGATATAGAACAAAGTAAGATGCATGACGTGTTATTGATTTCATCTTAATCAGATCTCAATATCTCAATTACGTTTTGAGCCGGGCTTTCCCATTTGTTTGCCGTAGAGATTTTAAAGCCAGGGCCCATTGTCTGCACGCCACCCCTGAGCTTCCTGCACAGGCTTAACTTTTCATTCTCCTGTAAATTGCAGGTTCTGTATTACGGTTATAGAGCACGGGTGTAAATCGAATGAAACAATGGGGGCTTCCGTCTACGACGATCCTCGAATCCTGCTTATCCGCCTAGCGTGTCGTCGAGAGAGGGAATTTAATTTTAACTCGGATCGCGTCGGTCTGTCAGCAACTATTATCTCTCCTACGTTTTTCTACATCTGTCAGAAACTCTAGATGGCTTCGGAACAGAGAGAGGATCAGTTTTCGTATATACGTGATCCGATCTCGACGTAAAATTTTGGGGAGTTAAATTGGGAGAGATATAAGAAAAAGAAATACAGCAATAATTATATTAATTAATTATATTATTTATTTTTATTTACATAAAAATAATTACTAATTTATTCTCTTATCCGTTCATCGTATTTGTTTTATATATTATTTATCTTCAGATACTATGTATCTTACATCTTCTTTAGTAGACCACTTATTCTTAAATTAATATTCTTAAATTAATGTTAACCATTTCTAATTTTGCGTATGAATTTAACTGTTTTAAAGTTTCCTCGATCTAAGTGCAATCTCTGCAATTAAGTCTTCAAAGTGTATGGTTACCGCCACCCGTCAAGCACCACCCGTCGGAAAACACCCTGCGAGAATTGGTCAGATCGCTCCAAGCCGCAGGCTGCGGTCTCGCGGATGGATTAACGAGCTGGTATTGTTATTTAATTGATTTCCGAATCTGTTCACGGCATCGGACTAATATGACGCTTTCCGCGAACTAATAATATATTATGATAAACCATCGTCGGCCGGCCGGACCAGCGAAAGACGAGCGCACGTGGCGACACGTGACTGCGGACGTCGCTTCTCGTTCGTCGGCCTCGTCCTTTTATTTAATTAGCGCGACTTTATGAGGCGCCTCGCGTACTAGTTGACGCTCCGTTTCCCGTCAATTTAACGAACGAGTGAAATCTATCGCCTCTGAATCATATGAGGTCTTGAACGGCACGTCCCCGTGGACATGGTTCGTTAGAGAAATCAATTTATTCACGCGACATTCACAAAAAACTACTTTTCTTTCAATTTGTAAAAACGAGATATTCTGTTTTTCAGTAATCACGTTGACTAAAAAAAAAATACTGATTATCGGTAAAAGCTGGAAAATGTAATTTTCTATATTTGTGATATTAATGGGAACTTGTGTTTACTTAAAAATGT